GTAATAAAGTAAACATGCAGTACCATCATTGATGGTATCATTCCAAGGAAAGCTAGAGCTGAGCAGGGGCTTCTCATGAAACAAATTCCATCCCTCCTTGATGTCTTCAAAGTAAGCACTAACCCTAAATTTCCCAAAATTAAAATGCTTCTTGTGAGAAGAAACAAAACTATAAACAGCAGTTACCGAATGGAGAGAAGTTATGACAGAAATTTAGTGGAGGTTTAAGAGAAAAGAAGGAATTATTCAAACAAACTAGGAATTAATGTCATATATATATGACATTTTGGTAAAGAAGTGAAAATTCCAAGTCTTGTTGTAGAAAAGCAAAAGGTGTCAACAATTATTTTCGTGTATATAAATAAGAGACTATATTAATGCCTTACTAACAAGATACTATCTTAGGGGTTGTGCAGGATAATTAACAGTAATCGTGACAGATTAGTTACTTTTAAAATTTGCACCTGAACAAATCCCCTAACGGATACTAGTAATGACTGGAGATTGATGTAAATCCATATTTTAGAATTTTAAAATATAATTTGAGTACGGGAGAAACTTCCAGGAACCACACAAAAATTGTCATGTTGAGTGAAAAGCAAAACAAATAAATGATGGATTATAAAACAGCAAACAGAAAGCAGCAACAGCTCCAATTCACAAACATTTCTTCACCCTGAGGTCTGTTACAGGACAGCACAATTGCATTTCTCTGTGGCCTAATTTCCTGTATTTTGCACTATTGAAAGAAAGCAGGCAAAAATGAAGAACTGCTCTAATGACTGTATAATGGATCAACTGGAGGAAAAAAAATTCTAAATGTTCTGACTTTGCCGCAAATAATTTCTTAAGCTCAAAGCATAAATAACAATGTTTGCATTTAACATACAGTGTACAGCATATGTTTGCAAAACTAAACAACTGCCTGTGTTTACACGAGATACATGATGCTCAGCTTGATTTGCATATCAGAGATCAGGCTGTAAATCTCTGATGATATTTACCGTCGGATAATTGAAATTAATCCTGCCAAAATGACTTTGACAGTCCTGAATTTACAGCCTGAGAAAACAGCCCTGGAGCTGCCTGCTGAGCTACGAACACAGCTGGCTGTGTGTCTGCAACCTGGGCTGTGCTCCTGGAGAAAATCCTCTCCCAAATTCTTCCCCAGCTTCAGGTTGATTCCCATAACCATTAAAGCAGTTGGGCTAACTTTGAGAAGAGCAGATATGTCTCTGTTTTGCTGGTTTGTTTTGGGTTTTTTATAGTTTTTCTAACTATAGCAGGCACATTAGTTATCTTCTTAGTTATCTTCCTTCCCTGCCCTCGCCTCCCCAGCGTTATGCCATTTGCTTTCAATGTCCTTTAGCAGTGGCCAACTCTCCCAGCAGAAAGCATCAAGACATTCCAACACCAGAACTCAGACTCCCTCAAATCCTTCAGTAACTTGGATCATGGCTGTGTCTCAGCCTGTGCCTGTCTCTTCCAGGAAGAAGGAAGGTGCTTGGATATTTGTTTGTTTTCTGTTTTGTTTGTTAAACTCAGATTGTCTCTTTAAACAGAAGGCACATAAGTTGTCCAGGAGAACAAAGAGGTTAACTACAAAGCTACCTGATGTTATCCTCCTGTCAGGAATGTCACCTGTGCCTTGATGTGTGATTGACACACAAAAGAAAAACATTTGTGAATATTACCCATAGCAAAAGAAAATAATAAAAAGACCAGATGTAGTTTCACCTTCTAAGAAAACAAAATTCAAATATTTAGTAGGTAGAATTTTCTTATCATTGCCAAAGAATTACGTAATTTATTGAAACTGTTGGCAACCTTTTCCAATTTAAGAGATGTTGCATCTTGTGATGATTGTGAAAGTTGCACTTTGGGTTTTGGTGCTAAAAGATAGCAAACAGCCTCCCCAGTTTCTTGATACCAAATTTACAACTACAGAGAATGCTATATATTTTTCAAAAGCAACATTTATAGATAGAAAAGTATATTTCTAATGTATAAAAGGGGTTTTTTTCAAAGCCTGGAAATAAAAAGACAACTGCCACCCATTACAGAAATGGATGCACTTTTATTTGTAGCATTTATTTACAACACAGCTCTTTCAGAAAGGTGGCAGTGATAGCTTTGATATTCATCTTGCTTTCCCCCCCCCCCAACCTTCTGCTTTCCAGGACTATCCAATTTGAAAGCAGGCATCCATCCAAATATGTAATATTAAGGAAGAGAAACAGCTCTCATTTATAAAATCTTAATTCCTTGTCAGTGGAAAGAGTAAAATCACTAGATTAACTGTGATCACTGATTATTATCCTCCCACAAATATGCTATCCTGTGCTCTGTCCCCTGTTCAGAGCTCGTGTCAGCTGGCAGACACCTGGAGAGGGAGAACGCTGCAGATGACAACTGGATAAGCACATATTCTGTGGGGATGAGAGGAAAAATAACTTCCTAGGCATCATAAACCCTTGTGGAAAGCTTGCTCCACCCTCCTGAGCTGCTGTACAGCCCCAGTCTGCAGGAGCCCGGAGGAGATGCACATTTACTGGTACCCAGCACAGCTGGCCTCATCTGGATCGGAGAACTCCAGGCACGGAACGGATTCACAGGAGACACCCCGGGAATCAGCTGGGATCAGTGCTGCCAAACTCAGCCAATTAGTACTGCCAAGTCAAAATTCACTGCAGGTTCTTTTGTAGAGCATCTCCATATACAAGCACCAGTAAATTAACAATCCAGTGGAGGATCTGAGCGTCATTAATCTCGGGAATTTTCCCTTATTTCCAAATCAGGCCATATATTCTGCACGGGCTGATTTTCACTTGAATTAGCCAACATGGGCATAAGGCCCAGTTGCAGCTGACTGTTCTGGAGTCAGGTCTCCAGGCAGGATGTCTTAAGCCTGAAACAACCACGTCTTGTCATCAAATCCCTTTTACAGAAGCCCTTCAAGAGCATCTCATGTTCCCACCGTACTTGTTCTGTACTAAGTGCATATACCATGCACACTCCTACAGCACATCCTACAGATTCATCTCAACAGATCAGCTAAACAGAACTCAACTGGCTTTTGGACTGAGGTAATGGAACATAACCCAACACGAGTTTTTACTGGGAGCAGACTGAAAGCCCACCAGTGAGGACTCCCAGCGAGGCTTTTTTGTTCCGTACTCTGAATACTCCTATTTTAATCAGACTGTGCCACATTTTTTGTCACCTCCTGCTGCCTTTAGCCACCGAGATTTCTGCAGGACTTCAGGCTGCAATAATTCTGTGCCTATAACTAGCCTTTCACATCATGGCTGTGTCCTTACTCTCTTAATTCAAATGCAGAATGCAGATCAGATAGACTGGAGGTAGAAAATGAGAGTTGCTGATGACTGTGAGGGGGAGGCATGGGTTGGCGGTGAAGGTTTGCTTTGATTCCTCTGACTACAAAAGCCTCCTTGCTAGAGAAGGTATTTTAAAATGTCTAAACAAAACCTCTGTCTATGCAAATTCAAAACCATTCTGACATAAAATTAAAGCAATTCTTGCCATTATTTCTTAAAGGTCATGAATATGCCATAAAAGATGATCAAGGCATTAAATAACTGCAACAGGTTAAGAGACAACAATACATTAGATTTCTGGTGTTTCCATTTCTAAGGAAAACACTGACCATTAATTCTTATTACTGATAGTAAATGGTGGAGGCATCATCTGTTATCAGAACTGGCTGACAATTTCTGTTATAAAACCCACTTCTCAGCTGTCTTGAACTTTGCCAAACTTTAACTGGTTTGTCTGTGTTTCATAGAAGTTGAATATGTGCTTCAAGCTTTCATTTTAAGTAACTGCTCTCAGCCAAAATAACTTGGAATAATTCACGAAAGGATAGATTTGTTATTCCATTTTGAAAAAAAAGTTTTGAACAGTATTTAATGCTTCCTCGATTCACAATCTTAAAGCAAGACTGGAAATCTGAACCTGACAGAGTTTTAATCAGCTCTCCAAAAAGTCCGGGTGAATTACAACAGTTTGGAAAATCTCAACTCAAGGCTCCCTGCAATTGCAGCAGACCAAGAGGGATTTAGGAAAAGGAACGAAAGAAGAAATTCTTCCTTGCTTTTTCTGTGAAGTTTCTTTCCCTGCAGTGGCCAACAAGCTTGAAGGACTATTTCATCTCGTGCAAATGCAAAAGAAAAAAAAAGACCAATAGCAAATGGAAAAAACCATTAGGGCTGGATAATAAAGAACCAGGGAAAAGACCTGTAAGACTGGAAACTTCTCTGTGGACTGGTGACATTCAGTTGTTAAAAATCAGACCTAGTACAGTAAAGTGGTGCCAGTTATACCACTCCCAAGTAATTCAGGAGTTGAGAAGATGCAGTTTGGAAAAAAAAAATTCCATTCCATTTCTTTAAGTTGTAAGTTAACCAAAATTGAATATAATTGAAGAAAGTTCAGGAACTAATAATTAACTGGTAAGCAGGAATATACTAATATTCTACAAGCACCTTCATAAAAATGCATTTGCCTGGATAATAAAAAGGTATACATTGATTTATTAATCAGGAGTGACCTTGCTGAAACACATATAGTGACTTTATATTTCCACTTGGCCAACCTTAAAGTGTGTTGCATACTTAGGAGCTAGAAATACTACATAGAAAACTTACTCAAAGTTTTAGTCAGTTATTTAAATTATATATTTAAGTTCCACAAAGCTCTTACCTTAAAAAAAAAAAAACAACAACGCAGAACAACAGATGCCAAGTAAAAGCAAATATTTGTATTTTGGCACTATCTGAAATCCTTCCCATCTCCCTGTTTACTAAAGCCTTTATCTGGTAAACCACATCAAAGTCTGTTTTTTCCAGCCCTCTCTTTAATTTATCTGTGTTCTCCGAGTGAACTCCACCAATCGATGCTAAATCGAGCTAAAACACAACCCCGTGGTTATTAAGCGAAGTTATCAATTACCTAACACAGACTCTCCAGGAGCTCCCTACCTGTTAACATCCCAGATTTTGCTCGTGCTGTCCATGGAGGCAGAGGCCACGAAGTCCCCCCGGGAATGCCAGGAGCAGCCCTGGACAGCGCGGGCGTGTCCCTTCAGGGTCAGGATGCAGCCGCGCCTCGAGAGGTCCCAGATCCGCACCGTGGTGTCCCCGCTCGACGTCACCAGCTGGGTGCCACTGGGAATAAAAACAGGTAAATTCAGCAAGGGCATAGGTGAAGATGTTCTCAAGGGACACAGCAAAATAATTTACCTCGGTTTAGAAAGACAGGTTAACTAGCAATTGATGTTACGTTAAAATACATACAAACAAAAATCGTGTTTGAAAACATTCTCGGTTTTACTTGACACGGTTTTCTGACACGTCACAGATGAAGCGGTCGCTTATTAAATATACTATCAAAAGACAAGGAAAGGAGATAGGAAGGAGCTATCTCCCACAGGAAAGTGAACACAGCTTCCAAAAATTACTTTCCTGCCTTTTGTAGTCTGTTTATCACTAGAGTTTATCAATAAAATAAGTTAAGTCCAGAGAACTGCTTTCAAACCAGAATAAGACAGATTCAGGGAAGAATATTTTCTTATTTCCCAAATTCATACCTTTCTACATGTAAATTATTATTAAAAGCATCCCAATTTTGTCTCTTCTAACTCAGCATAAACACTTTAACACATTTACTATCTCTTGGGGTCACTGATATATTACATGAATGAAAAATACAGAGTTTAACTCAGATTTTTTTACCAAATCTTCAGATAAGTGTAATTCTGTTTCCTTTAAGCATGAACATATGGCTTCAGACTAAAAGTTCACCTGTAACATGTTCTATAACAACTAGTAGAGGATTCTTAATTAAAAGAACATAATAAAAACAAGTATGTGGAGTGATACCCTTATTAAACTCTCCCAGCCCCAGCCTGTGGCTCAGGATTTCTCTGTGCTTAACAAGCACATCCATGGAGTTTTTTTCCCCACGAGTAATTGATTTTTGAACATATGCAAACTTTGGGCACCCACAATCTCTTATGTCAATGAATACCAGAATTTAATTACTCATTGTGTGAAAAGCTATTTTGGGGTCTTAAATACCTTACTCCATTTCACTTGATGCTTCTAATTCTAATACTGTGATTAAAAGTAAACATCTACTACACGTCCACCATCTCTAAATGTGGTATCAACTGTGGCGCTTCAGGGCCCTGTTATATTTTACTGCAAAGCTGAAGATTCCTGCTCTGTCGACTCATTCCTCACGCAGACATCATTCCAGCTCTTGGAGCACATTTACCATCTCTCTCTGCACCTTTGCAGTTGCAACTGAAGAAACAGGTACCCAAGGAAGGGATACAGCAGCACAGCAATGTTTCCTGGTTTATTCTGTGCTCTTGTAATTCAGTCAGCATTTTTGGCCCCACCACAAAGAAGCCGACCACAGCGGCTCCAGGATTGCTTTCCTCAGTACTGATAAGTAGTTTAGACCCATGCTTATCTGTGGACAATTAGGGCCATTTTTTCTTATGTGCTTTACTTTGTGTTCATCTGCATTGACTTTCATCTGCCACTTCACCATCCAGTCACCTGTTGAGACTGGAATCTTTCCCTGTAATTCTTCACTTGCTCCTTTTTCCTGTCCTGGCTAATTAGCAAACTCATCCACCTCATTCTTTTCCCCAACTTCCAAGATGGTCTTAACTTAGATCCCAGCACAGATCCCCACGGGACTCAAAAATTCATCTCTCCATTCTGAAAGCGACACTTTATTCCTGTCCTTTCACCACTTTTTCAATTCACAAGATAAATTTCCGGTTTATTCAGGACAGTTTTGATTCCTGGGGAGTTTTTGTAGAACGACCTCCAGAAGAATTTACTGCAAATCCAAGTGTATGAAATTCATGAATCTCCCTTGATCAAATGCTCAGCCAGCCCTTTGGAGAACCCCCAGCCAATTTCTGAGGCTTAATTTCCAAAGCCATGCCGATACCCCCCCCCCGGGCTGCACTGCAATAAATGTATCCAAGTATCCTGTCATTTTGCTTCTTAATATAATTTCTATCAGCCTTCCCAATATAAAAGTTAGATCAATCCATCTGGAGCGCCTTCAGCCCAAATTCCTATAAAATACTGGAAAAAAAGTTAATGCAGCCCTCCCAGGAATATTGCAGGTTTTCAATCGTGTTTAATAAACAAAAACAAAAAACAGGAAAAAAGTGTGCGGATAATACACAAAAATACAGGTCAAAAGTATTTAAACTGTAGGTTTTCAGACCAATTTCTGCTGTTATCTCAGCAACGTCAGTAAGATGACCTTGCCTTTAGGATCCCATAAACTCTGGTTTTCTTTGAATAATGGCAAAGGTGCTATCACAGGCAGTAGAAACCCTTCTCCCACATCCCTGGATATAAAAGTGTGGGAAGTGAAAACAGCTCAAGGGTTGATTCTAAGCGCTACTGTAAAACTTCAAGAATATACTCTGAGATATTCAGTTCACTGTTGCAGTTCATAAGAAAAAAAGAGGGGGGGAAAAAAAAAAAAGAAGGGAAAAAAGGGTCTGGGACCTGTGGTGTCAAACCTTCTTTTTTATATTCTTCCTCTCCTCCTTTTCCAGTAGATGTCCACCAAATTGCTTGGTAAAAGTAGCTACTATGACAGCTTGAAATATGTGCATCATTTACCTGATAGATCTTAGGGGGGAACTTGACATTATGAAAGATCACCTACCTAAGTTTTTGACTATTTTTAACACTTATGGTTTAGACTGCTAATTTTTATGAAAATATCATTATAATCTTCATTAAGGCAGTTACACCCCCATGCCTAAGACAAAGCTTTGAGAGATTAATCTCTCAAAAATTTTAATGTTGCACAGGAGTAATTCTGAAGCTTTTGTCACGTATCCCAGAGCATAAAGGTTTGAAGTCTGAGTAGGGGTTTGAGGGAGACCCTAATTTTGTAAAGCTGCTTGGAATAAATGTGCTTTTGTTAATGAAACACTTGCACTTTTAATAACTCAAGCTAGATCTCACTTCTGGAGACAGATAAAATTAGAGAAATGACAAATTATCATACCCCTTATACATTTATGAAATAAGAGCTTAAAACAAATTCGGAGGCAGGTATAAAGTGGGACTGATGAAATCTGCAATTGATTCAGAGGGAAACATGTACTGCCACTGTTGTGAATCACAAGGAGAGATTTATGGCTTATACATTTTTTAATATATAATCCCCAAAATGCTACATGAAGCACTGGTTCCTTGGGCTGAATTTCAAGAATATGCCATCCAGGCAGTGATGAAAATCTTTCAGAGAACAGATATGAGCAGGAAGGTAGTTCAAATGGATTCAATTTGGCAATCTGCAATAGGGGAAGGAGTAACAAATGAGGTTTAGCACTCCTTACAGATCAAAGGAGAAAAAAGGGGGGATTGAAAACAAAAGCACAGCTTGTACAGGAAAAAGTTTTGAGGGACAGACTGATAGTGGGAGGAAGGTCAAAAACACTCGGGAAGAGCAGGCCCAGATGCCCCAAGCCCTGCAAGAGAAGCTCCCCAACATTCCCTGAGCATAAGAAAGCATCACTTGACCAAAGAAAGGGGAGTTGCATCAGCTGAGGCTCTGCAGTTAAGCATGTAGGAATTAATGCCAGCTTTTCTGGGAAGCACCAATGGTACTCATGGGAATGATGGCTGTCAGAGCTGTTTTAGCACTGAGGCTGTTTAGCAGTGAGGAAATCCTCACCACACAGTAGTTTTCAAACCACATAATGAACAAAAAAGTGCTGTGTCAAGCCAAGTCAGACATCTAAATCAAAATTCTGCTATTAGAAAAAAAATCCTATCTACTTAATAGCTGATCAATAATTACATACTTTTTCTGATTCGAGGCCTTTTTTCAGTCCTGGGAGATAAAAGAAACACTCCAAATTCTGAGCTAATGTTTTGTTCCCCATAGTTCCAACGTTTTTTTACTGTACTATTGTTCTGTATAAGATCATGTTGGGGAGAAAAACAAATATATCAGGAAAAGCAGTGGTTTTTAATGATTTAGGCTGTCGGTTTAACAGTCTGTGGTACCCACACAGTCCTCTATTTCATGACTGATTTTCAAACAAAATGCAGACTGATTTTTAGATTAAAAACATATGACATCAGAAGCTCATATATACCAGCAGCTACATATATAATCTCCTTTTGAATTTAAGATTGATTGCTAACAGGGAAAGCTCCAGCTCATCCTGTGCAGTGTGTATATCTAACTCAGAGCAAAATAAAACACTTTAATTGTTTTTTAACAAACAAATCAACGAACCAGACAACATATTAGGAGACAAGAAAAAGGTAAATCCTACCTTCTTCTGTAACTTGAAACACATTCACATACATGCAAATAACTTTGCCATCTTTTAGAAATTTGGCACTTTTGTAAGGAAAGTAACAGCACTTTTGTGTGCAGTGCTCTGTGGACTCCACCAGTTTGGTTTGTACTGTCTTGCTTGGTCTGTTTGAGGGGTTTTTTGTTTACACTTTCTAGCAGACCAAAGCACTAGAAGGGATGAAACATGGATAGACCATTTTTTAAAATACTAAATACACATAAAGTTCTACCTTTCAGCTGACTTCAGGTATTCCTAACTGATGCTGTGAACTGCCCTTCCAGAGACAATTAGAGCAGGAAAAACTTTGGAAACAAGAATTCTGCATTCCAGAAAAGGGGATGGAACATCAACTTCTCAAGCCTTAAATACTCCCTCCCTCATATTCTAAACACACACACACACACAATATTTCCTTTCTTTATACATTCTCGCTTCTTCCAACTTCACTGTTCTCACTACAAGATGTCTCTCCATTAACACTTCCCAAGTTGTAGATATATCAATAATTCAAATTCATATTCAGCAACAACATGAGCCTTTGGCACAGAGTCATTTTACAACATTTCAGGTGACTGATCACCTTTCTGGAATACCAGTCAAATGAAGGCAACAGCTACCCCTGTAGTGCTCCCCTGCAAATATATCAATTGTAACACCAACAGGCAAGGCAGCTTCAAATATTGCACCTGGCTTAAATATTTCTGGATGATGGACTTGGATCTGAACCTCGAGCTGCTCCAGGGGAGTGCTCAGGTTACTTGTGAAGCTGCTGAGGAACACTGAGCTAGAAAGCTCTTCTGC